GAGGGCTGTCAGGGGACAGGGAGCGGGTGGGGTGGATGGGGCACAGGTCCCAGGGGGACCATCAGGGAACGGGGGGGGGGCGGCAGGGGGCAGGAGTCCAGGGGAGGCCGGCAGGGGGCAGGAAGCAGGGGGGGGGGTTGGATAGGGAGTGGGGCCAGGCCACACCTGGCTGTTTGGGGAGGCACAGCCTCCCCTAACCGGCCCTCCATAAAATTTCCGAAACCTGACGTGGCCCTCAGGCCAAAAAAAGTTTGCCTGCCCCTGTGCTAAAACATGTAGGGCCAGATTTTCAAAACAGCTTAACATCCAGCGGTTTCCATGTAGGCACCTAAAGAAGTGGCCAGATTCTCAAAAGGAAGAATTTCCATGGAAGCCAAGTTCTGAGATCTTTTGACTATTTGGACCCATATATTTAAGCAGGAGATTCTCTACATCATTTTGAAGGACTATTTTCTGGGTTAGTAGTAGGAAAGGGAGAACCCAGGATTGGGCTTGCTGCTAGGTTTTAATGAGCACTTCTGGGCACTGAGCTCCTCTGAAAATCAGATTGATTATTTAGGTGCTGGACACACTTGACAATCAGTCCTATAGAGCTTTCTGTAAACTTCCACTCAAAGATTATTGCTTTGTCCACTTGTAATGCTATATTTGCATTAAACTTTAACATATAGTAAACCTCGTGGAGCAAATGTGTATCTCTCTCTCTCTCTCTCACCAACAGAAGCTGGTCCAGTAAAAGATATTACCACACCTATCTTGTCTCTTTAATATCCTCGGACTGACACGGCCACAACTACCCTGCCTAACTCACTCACAGAAACACAGATCAGTCCTTGGCAGTATTTAAAAAATAAATAACGTTTTTTAAAAAAATCAATACAGCTCTTGCTTTGACAAAAATAAATGAAGCTGAACTGCATAATATATAGTAGTTAAATGCTTGTGGTATCCATATTTCAATGAAGGTAAATTTTTTAACATTGGCCACTTAAATTGGGCATGCGATTCTGACATTTGCTCATCCAGAACAGTTAACTTAACTCATCTGCACACAGAAACATGGAGAGTGTATATATGTATGTGTGCACAGATTAGGTAATCAGGCTGGAAAAACTCTGCCAACACTGAAGACATTTTGTACAAGATATTTTTTTAGCTGAATTTCAGTTGTTTCCCAGGAATTAACAGCCTGTTAAATTAACTGATGGTGACAATATCTTGCAGATGTCCAGATGCAGATGAATTTGTGAAAGATGTCCAGTTATCACTTCTCCATTTGAGAGAATGCTAACATGAGGACTTTTTAAAAAAAAATAGTACCTGTTTGGGTATTCCTTGATGATCTGATATATGCTAATCTTAATTGTTTCATTCTCAAACCGATTGTGGCTTCGGTCCTTGTAAATCCGGAATTCAGCTGCTGTCACTGCTTCTCCATGTGGGATTTGAGTCAGGTCAAATCGAAACTCTTTGTAGTGCCTTCTTTGATGAGAAAAGTCCTTGTCTCTTTCAACTATGAAAAAAGATTAAATTAAATTAAATTAAAAGGAGTGAAATGATATACCAATCCAATGATTAACTGTGCATTCACTATGTATAAAAAAAATCCCAACAAACTGGATGATATAAAACTGTGCAAATAATAAAGCCACAAATCCAGACATACTTCCAGTTAAAGGAAACTCCACAAGCCAAATGGTCTTCAGTTCAAGAGGAAAAACCCTCTGTGGTTTTTTACAAATTCCAGAAGTCAGAGTGGAAAGAATATCAAGAAAACTGAAAGAAGTCATGGTGTAAAGCAACTAGAAATATGGACAAAATGAAAGTTGCAGAAGGATTTGATACTTTGGTTTAGTTACATGAACAGCAGAAATTATTTGAGAGACACAAATGATCTTGGTGTACATGACTAAGTAATAATCGGGAAAGAAAACAGGGAAAGAGGACTACTTCTGTCTGAGGCAATAAATTTTGGAACAGTGTTAAGTGCACCATAATTGCTACATATTTAAGAAGAAACTACATCATATAAATTAACACATGCTGTCATCTTATGGCATAAAAGTGTCCTCTTGTCAATGGTATGAGCAAGAGAACCACAAGTCAGAGCTAAGTGGTTCTGGCACCCAAACTGCAAAATGAAGCAACACTCCTAGTATAAGAAGTCCCCTCCACACATATATATTAATTCTCTGCCACGTTTTTGTTTATGTATCGTTTATGATGCTTCTTTATTTGCAGCAAAGTTCCACCAGGAGCTAAAATCTAACCTCAAAACTAGTTAATCAGGATTCCACAGTATTTTAAGAACAGAGGGCCAGATCTTCAGCTGAAGTAAATCAGCACAACTCCATTAATATCACCAGAATTATGCTAATTTACACTAGCTGAGGTTCTGGCCCAGTAGTATGAGAGGACATCTTTGCAGAATATTTGTTTTGATGCATCGAAGAAGCCCACACAATTACTCAATGTGATTTTATATGTATGAAAAACAAGATCACCTGTCATTTTTATGCCCATGGGGTAATCCGTGGTAGATCCCCAACTGCATTAGGGTTCTGTACCTTACTAGATTTGGGAAATCCAGAGTCGAGAGTTCAGATCCATTCATCTGTTTCATCAAGAGTTAGTGTGTGTCTACTAGTGATGGGAGAAATCCAAAGGGTTCAGAGCTTCAGTTCAGCTGGGATGAGCCAACAAACTGAGTCTCACTCAGCCCCACTACACTCTTTCCCCACACAACCCCTTCTCCTACTTTCAGATCTACTATTTTCATTCCACTGATCCAAGGTAGTAACAATTTTGGCCCTGAAGCACTCTACATTAAAAAAGGAAAGGAAAGGAAAATAGAGCTAGATTTTGACAGTTCATAGTTAAGGACACAGATGTAAAAGTTGTCCTTCCAAAAACTTTGAAATTATTTTCAGAACTGTATTTAAAGCACCTCTGTCAACTCTCAATGCCAGGCCCTAAGTATGCACCTATTATTTAGTCTTTTAAAACATAACTGGAAATGGATTTAATTAATATATAATACTTTAAATGTGCAGATCTGTTGATAAGTTTTGCTTTGTCAGTATGTATAACATACTGCACAGACTATATTATCTATAAGAAAGTATATTTACTTCAGTTAAGATGAAATTTCTCTTGACTGACAAAGAACCATAAAACTCCTCTCTAAACAAACTCAAGGAGTTAGGTAGCCCAAATGCACATTTTGACTGTAAGGATCCAAAATTTTGTTCCATGTAAGACAGAAAGTCAAGACAGAAAAGAGGCAGAAGCATGTAAACTAGCCACTCTGCAGCCAAAGATAAATGGGCTGCCACTGAAGAGAAACAGGATACAGTCTATTTATTACCTCCATCACTAGCTCCTAAACAGCAAGATATATATTGATATCAGACCAGTTTTTAAAGAAATGAGATCCCCTGACCGGCTTACTTAATGCACCAATAAAGGATCTATATTTTAAACACGACGACAAATCAATTTCTGTTTTATTGTTCGCAGCTAGACTTTGTACTGCACATTCTTGGAAAAGTGGACCCTTTGAGTGGAATTACAGTATAGAAAAATATGGCCTATCCTTGTAATGGAAAAGCAATCACACCAAGTACATACACAAGAGAAGTGTTAAAAAGAGCATCAGAATTTAGAAATTTTGTCAACTTTTTTAGCACACTCAAAGGAGGAGGACACCCCAGCCAACAAGCTAGAATCTTTAGCCAGGTTCTTGGAATATTAACCTGATCCTGAATAAGTAATAAGTAATGTATGATGTAGTATGTTAACATGTTATTGTAACTGTGCCTCAACAAAAAGTTTTTAAAAATACACATTAAAGCTTTCATTACTGAGACGGAGTACAGCATGAGTTAGCACATGCAATCACAATGAATTGTTCAGGGATGCTTTTGGTTTGTTTTTGTTTTTTAATAGAGTGAAGATCTTGCTATAAATTATTAATGTCATAACTGAGAATTTGAAGAGTACTTGGGAGCAGAATGTGCCAAGAGTTTTCATTTTAAAAATATTTTAAAAGTAGAATTAATTCAGGGCCCAATTCTGCAACCCTTTGATTAGTACTTATTGATGGAGTTCAGTGGGAGTTCTCATGTGGGTAAGTGCTACTCACTGGTGGCAGAATTAGGCCCCAAATGGGGATTTCAAATCCCAGGATTACTGGCCTGGTTTTCATGTCTATCTACTTAGCAGTAAATTCAAATTAATAACATTTGTATGGAAACAGTAAGTATCCCCCATGTCATAACTCGGACACAAATAGGATCAGTATTTACAACACACCGTATTACAGCATTGATAGTACTCTCCTAGAAGTACACACAACTGCTGAATGAATACTTAGCATTTGCTGTTGAATTAAACAAAATTAAATGTATTAAATAGGGCTAACACGCATTTTACTTATCTATTTATATTATTTCAAAGAAAAGGCACTGCTGCAATATGGAACACACACACACACCTCTGTTGTTCTAGTGCATTTCTTTAGTCCTGATCTTCTACTGGACAGGACAGAAATTACAGTCAGACAAGTTGAAAAAAACAGAGGTAAATTCCAGAAAAATAACTGACTGTCCAAATAAAGAATTGAATAAAAATAAAAACCATAGGTGAAATCCTGGCTCTACTGAAGTCGATGGATAAACTCCCACTGACTTCAGTGGGGTTGGGATTTCACACTGTACATTTCAGTATACCAAGATGAGAACCTTAAAAGCAAACATCGGTGAACTAGAATGCCTGGCAATTAAAGAAAATTTTGAAATAGGCATTACTGACACATGATGGAATTTAAAAAAAAACAAACAGTATGATGTACTAATAGCTATCTACGAACCATAAAGGAGGTCAGATTAGGTCATAGAAGTGGGGGAGTAACATTCTTCCTAAGGAAGTCCATATAATCCATTGAAATAAAACTTCTTAGTAGAGAAGGTAATACAATAGAATCTGTGTTACAAACCACACACCTCTACATTAACTCTATATTAGTAAGGGATTCCCTTCTGCCAAGGAAATCCTTTTCTGTCCATTCAGGGCAGCTTTCAGGTCCTTTTGCATGCTAAAGTGGCACAAAGGAAGCCATGGTGTCGTCCAGGATCTGGTCCCATGACAAAAAGATTTTAGCTTCATAGGTGGAAGTTTTTGAAAGTTATAAGACTCTGAAAAACAGGTTCTTATAAAGGAAACACTTAAGCAACCTTAAATATTTACTCCTCCAATTTTCATATGCGCACACACACACACACACACACACACACCAATTCACTAGCTGAAATGCAGCCATCACAGGGATGGATCACAACCGCTATTTAATGAAGTACAGCAATACTATGCAACAGTTAATAACAGGAAGTGAGGAAATATATCTTAACCATTTGAATTGGAAGGGGAACTTAAATAAATGGAATATAATTACTCAAACTGGAATTTGACTAGAACATCAGAGCAAATGCTGTTATAAAAGGTCAGAAGAGATCTTAAGTTGTTACAATTGGCCAGGACCTAGGTTTCAAGTCTCAACTTAAAAACAGAACTTCCAACTTACATGTTTAACATTACATTGGGGCACTAGTTCACCACCAGCTCAGGGGGATATTAACAAGAAATTACTGAGTAGATGGCAAAGAACGTTTTTTTGCCAGCCATCAATATGCATTCATACTAAAGTAAATTACAAAAAGAAAAAAAGACAAAAGCCACATCTAAGAGTTGCTTTATAAAATGGATCATCATTGATCTCAAGAAAAAATATTGGGTTAATTTTTCTGCTGGAGTAAACTGACGCAGTTCCATTGATATCGATGGAACTGCACCAATTTTCACTAGCAGAGAATTTGATCCACTGGGGGGGAAATATATATAATATGATATCCTGATAGTTTATAATTGAACTATATATCTCTAAATAGGTATAGAATAAGTCTGAGTAAATATAATATACCAAGCACCATTAACAACAACTTTATCACAAAGGGACAGCATACAGTAAGTAAAATTAAATTCTTCATGTCGGACTATTGGTGACATCATAGCAGAATTTTCATAAGCCTTCTTGATCAATTGCTAGCTCTCCACACTCTGAAGCTGACCTCCTAGTGATCTACCTCATACCATCTATCCATCTTCACTGGTCATCCCCTAGTAGGATCCTACTACCTACTACCATCCCTTCCACAGTAACTTTCTCAAGGTTATTTCCATTGCTATGCCTGATGTGCAAAGTACATAAATTTGCACTTGCTGATTTCTGACAACTGGGTCTGCTTGTCTCCAAAATTGCTCCTAACATATGCATTCATCTTCTTTTCCAGCCAGGAGATACCCGAGAGTCTTTGTCAGCACTGTATCTCAAAGGCTTCAATTTTCTGCTTGATACGCTTCAAGATGCAAGAGTTTTTCCAAACTTTCATGAGGGAGGACATGGGTAAGCAAGCCATTCCTAATAGTCTTCCAATTTCTTGTACAGCGTAATATGGA